ATTCGCATAGTATAGAGGATAGACTAGGAATAGCGATCCGAATAATATAAAGAATAGACTAGGAATAGCGATCAATCTAGACGTCACGCGACTTCCTATATATGCGTTTCCTTTATAGTCACGTGATCCACTTAATTCAATAATGGGATCGCCTATGTTTGCTCACTGGCGATCTATGCTCAAACTCAAGTGTCAGCAGCAACACTTTATTCCTATATAACAAATTATTCCTATATATAACAAATAGAATATATGTTAGCCAATAAATAAGCTTGTGGTTAATAAATCTAAATGTTAGATTTCTCTGGAGCCTAGTTTGTTATTATAAATATGATCAATTCTTGGTCACTAATCAGTTTTTCAGTTAACCTTGACCAGGTGTTCGACCATTTGTCACAGAAACGAAACAGAAATTCTCATAATTAATTTCATCTTTCGCTTATTTATTTCGATTATAGTACATTACAAAATACGGTTTATCCGCTAACTTTTTTACATGCTGCAACAGTAGGGACTAATTTCCCTTTCCTTGTTCATCCAGTCTACAACTAGAATTTAAACATACATATACATCCGCCTATGTGCAGCAGTAGCGTCTAGCTTTTTCGCGCCTGCTTTCATGAAGTATCCAACTAGAATTTATACACACTAGACCTATCACATAAATCTACCAGACTTTTCACTTACATCTGCAGACATATAGACGTATTTATCGTTTAACATATACTAAAGCAATCCTTTCAGTTGTACTGTAAAAAAGGATACACAAACATATTGTGTGAAGTTGTTTTGTAATTACTTTCTTTTAATTCGAAAGAAAAATAATACTCCGATAAATAAAAATTATTAAAATTTGTAGATCCGTGTTTGAAGATTAATTTAATTCTTCGTTTATACATGCATATTCCCCTACACACAAACATACACACACATAGATAGATAGATAGATAGATAGATAGATAGATAGATAGATAGAAGTGTGAATACAAACTAAATAACAAGATATTAGCTGCTGTATATGCGTGCGATAGCGCGCATATGGAAATAAGCAAATAAATATTTATTTAATTCAATTCATGGTGCAAACAATATAGTGCTCAATATAGTTAAATAGAGCTATGAAGTATATATATTAATAAATACACATATACCTACGTTTGGAGTGCAACTTAAAATTTCATGGTTCCCAAGTCATCAGGCGCATATGACGATTGGTTCGCTTATTACAGTTGTTATATATATATATATATATATATATATATATATATATATATATATATATATATATATATATACCGGGTGGGACAACAAAATTGTCCGAATCGTGTAACAGGAAAATTTTACAATTGTCAGATTCAGTTTGAACCATTTTATCTTAGAAATAATTAAAGATATCTTACTGGAATTCTCCGAGGTTTTTATATCACTATTGAACTCTACTTTGAGTAATAGGAATGTATAATTACTCTCCAGGCTTAAAAGAAGAATCGTGATGAAATCGATCATAAACGAAATTGACATTTTCATCATTAATTAATCATAGCTAAAGATCGGAAGCTCATGAAGGATTGAAATAAAATATATATATATATATATATATATATACAGACACACAGACACACACACATATATATATATATATATATATATATATATATATATATATATATATATATATATAATATAAGGATCCTTTTCTAACTTATTCAAGATGTTCTTTGCTCTCACTAATCTTCTAAATTTCTTTATAATATAATCATATCATATATGTCAGTAGTCTGAACGATTAACAGCATAGAAATATTCGAAGTCGATATTAATCATCTCGACCGTTATAATGGAGATGGCATAATGATTGAGCAGATATAACTTAATATGGTAAAAAGCTGCAGTTATACTGCATTTATAGCAGAAAGATCTGTTATAGGTTATAGTGATTGGCACAGAATGTTGGTTTTTACATTAAAAAGGAATGTGCACTTAGCGAATGTTGTTTTAAAAGGTTTATATTGGTGAATACAAAATGCAAACTTGTAGCCTTTTTCATGAGACAGAGTTCGTAGCGATAGAGAGACGTCCTTCTTTGTAGCAGGCAGTGGTCCTGATTAGTTCTTTTGTGGTTCTAATGGAGTGAAAGAGGCTGTGCTGCTTTCTGACAAAAGGGCAGAGAAGACTAACGGCAGGTTCTCTTTTTCCTTGCGGTCTGTAAGGAGTCGGTGAGTGCGGGTGGTATTGGACTCTGAGACTTCTGTATTTATAAATACTTTTTCACCATTGGGCTGCGGGCATAGTTAAGTATTTTTTAATCATCTCTACCCAAGCAAGGCAATAGAGCCACTAAGATGTTGGAGTTAACTGGGTGTGAAAAATACATTGTTAAGAAGCGAGAATAATAAAAGAACAACAATTAAGAAGACAGAAGATAACGATTAATATTGCATTTAAGTTTTTGAAGATCAAAGTTGTCTGCAAAACAAGAAGTCAGAAGAGCGTTCTTCAAGCGAGAAGTGCGAGAGAATAAACAGTTAACATAGAAGTTACGGTTGCATCTAGCCATTTCAACTGTAAAATAATATACTGCCGGGAATCCAGTACTGCGCTTAAATTCATAAAGTATAGTTACTGTTGTAACCAAAAGAAGGTTACTGAATAGAATAATCAAACGAAGGTTTTAATGAACGATAATACTTAGGACAAGAACAACACATATAAGATTCGCCAGCGGCGCGTAGAAGAAGTAGTCAACTGCTAGAAGTGAGTCAAGTGAATTCTACAATGAATCTCCAACTGCAGGATATCTACCAACCGCCCTACGCGGTCAGATGTGGCACAAGGCCGAATTTAATGTGGGGTATCGGTGCCCGTAGGCTCGGCTAAACATTCCCCCGTAGACCACGCATAAAACGGGGTCGGGTAGCTGTTTCCCGGGACGAAACTCTGCCCTTTGGCATAGCCTCGTCTGGGGATCTCTCTGCCCAGAGGCAGAGAGTTTGACCAGCACAGCTGGAGACAAATCTTTAACTGCAAACCAACATACAGTATTTACTCCTGTATTTACGTGAATGGGGACATACTCATTATCGTTCGTAGATGTGCTACAATAGCTACCCTAGAAGAGAGTTAATCAGAACAATTACCATGAAAGTATTCAAAGAAAAGACGCCGGAAATCTAAGTTTCGGTGGTGGGAAAGTGACTGAAGCCGAGATGGCAGGTCAAGCCCAATAACACTGCAAATTCTTTTTTGATTTTATCAAGGATCTCCTATATAGAAGGAGCACCAGACCAAATGTGGCGGCAATATTCAAAATGTGCACTTATAAATACGTATGATAGATTCGGGCAGAAGTCAGTGAACCAAATTTCCTAGTAGTAGACTTAAGAATTGATTCAATATGATCTTTACACTTCATGCCAGCGGAAAACCTTAGGGCAAGAAGGCGCAACGAATCAATCTCCTCGATGTTAGCATAAGGTTTATCTCAGATGATAAATACAAAGTAGTTTTGTTTTGGAGCTGTTAAAATTAACAAGCCATTCCTTATCCCGGTTAACAATAGAATGTAGGTCATTTTTTAGACCAGTTGCCAATTTGACGTTATCGAACCGTTGTATGCCTGGATACTGTAAGTTGATTAGCTCTATGTCATTGTTCAACGATAATAAGTAATTGCGGAGCTCCTCATGTCCTTCATCAAATTATTGACGATAAATATAAAGTTGATTTGGATGAAGCGTATACGAATTTGTCAATGTGAAGATGCAGCATTAAATTTCTGCAGGTTCGATTCACATTGTGTATCGACATTATCTATTGAGAAAGTTCGGGAAATCAAAATGGATAAAAACAAATTCCACACGAATTTTCAAATAAAAAAAAACAGATTTTGGTCAACAGAATTGGTTCCGGGATTTTTTTTTTATTCATGCAATATACTCATCTTGAACTTTCCAAATAATTCTAACAAGAAAGAACGGTTAATTTGAATGAAAGCAAATCTACGTCTCAGTGCATTCAGTCTGTAAATACAATCAAATAATTACTTCATATTTTATTATCCGTTAGACAAACTTGCCATAAAAAGGGAACCAAAATTAATCCCAACAAAAATACGAGGATAATGGAACAATTTCGCCATAACATATATTTAGGTTTGTCACACTGCCTTCAACTTATAGTTTATACTATTGTGGTTACGTGATCGAAATTTGAGCTTAATTATTTTCTTGCTGCTTATACAGTGTAAACATGGCCGCTCCGTTAGCAGTGTGCACCAAGGAGGAAAAAGGAGCAGTAATCCGAATGTGCAGTGAACATAAAATCTCATCGATGACAACTAGTCGATTCCCTCGAGCTTGCTGAATCATCTCGTCAGTGATGGAGGTTGACCGTCGTCCTGCTCCTTCTTCGGACATCACGCTTGTCCGGCTACTTTTAAAATTCTCGATCCACTCCTGCACGCTTCTACGCGGTAGTTCCCTGTCGCCATATTGTGTTAAAAGCCGCCGATTAATTTCATCCCTTGACACACCATCCGACCAGAGAAATTCGATCACTGCTCTTTGTTCTTCCTTGGTGAACACTGCTAGCGGACCGGCCATGATTACCTTGTAACAGCAGCAAGAAAACTAGCGAGAAAAAGCCCAAACTTTGATCACGTGACCGCAATAGTGCCAACCATAAGCACATATGAGCAGAAGGCAATGTGACAAAACTAAAGATATGTTATTGCGAAAGTACGGGTAATTTCTTTACTTACCATCGTAATAGCTATTTTCATAGGAAATTCAATCTGATACTTCTACAGGTTTTCCGTGTGGCTGACAGGTTTACAAGAGCTTGACGTCAATGAATTAAATCGTTCGATAAACCTATCACCGTATTTTATATTAGATTTGAGCGGAATAAAAGGAACTTTACAAGGTAATTAAAGTTGATACGACAAATAATAGTATAATCATCATAAACAATAAAAGTAAGAGCAGGTTCAAATAGAAGTCATGGGAACTTGTAACTACTATGGATTATTGCTGTGGTTTGATTGACAAAGCTCAAGGATCTGGAGACCCTTGTTATAGGCAACTACCTCTTTTACAGAAAACTATTATTATTTGAACACGAGTTTTCAAAATATTTGCATTTTCTGGAAACATATTTCCTCAAAGCACCCGCACTCTCCTTAGTATTCGTTCTGGTTTTAGAAACGCTGTCTTCCAGCTCATCCTTCATAACCAATCGTATTTAATTAATTCTGAATAAATTATTATTATTATTACTTTCAACATTACCGAAATTGTTACAATAAATATTATAGAATGATCTTTACGGCAATAAATAATTCACAATATGATTTGTTTTATAGCAGCTAATCGTCAGATATACTTATGCATACGTTGAATATAGTTAGCCGTATATATAGGCGTATTTCTAAAAATGATAACTATATATAAAGTGTACATATATATGCCTTTCATGTGAAGCCCGTACAAATTGAAAGGTATGCGACAAATCTATAAAATCGATGGACAAAGCAGAGGCCCGAGATGTCATAAAGCATCTGCAAAAGAAAGGTATGACACCCAAGGAAATGCATGAGGACATGATACAGACACTTCTTGAGGACTCCCCTCCCTATATGAAGAAGTGGGCTTTGGAATTCAAGCGGGGCAGGGTCAGTACAGAAAATAACCATAAGTCAGCTCGTCCCAAATCATCAACCACAGACGTTTTACTGTCCAGCTGATAAGCTAAGTCCATAAGCATTACTTCTGGTTCAGTCCATACTGTTTTAACCGAGAACTTGGGAATGAACAATCTGTCTGCAAGATGGGTCCCAAGAATGCTGACACTAGAACAGAATCTAAAAAAGGTTGGCATTTCAAGAATACTTCTGACTCGTTTCCAGGCTAACCCTGAGAATTTCAACTGCAGATTTGTAACTCAAGAAGAAACCTGAGTTTACCACTTCGAATTTCAGACAAAGATTCAAAGAAAACAGTGGAAATACCCTGGTTCCCCACCCAGAAGAAGTTCAAGCACGCTGCGTCTGTTGGCAGGGTGATGTCTTCTGTTTTAGGTGATTCTCAAGGCATGATCATGATAGAATACCTGGAAAAGGTGAAAATATTAATGGACAGTAATATAAATCAAAATTAAGACAACTTAAAGAAGCAATCAAACTGAGGGCTGGTGTTCAATTTCTCCAGGATAACGCGCCCATTCACACTGCCCAGGTCGTGGTAACTGATGCAACCAGCTGTGGTTTGAATAGCTACCTCATCCTCCTTACTCACTATATTTAGCTTCATCCGACTTCTTCCTCTTTCCTAAACTCAAATTCTACCTGCGTGGTCGCCATTTTAGAAACATTTATAGGATCATATGTACTGTGGAGGAGTTTTTGGAGGAACCGGGCGCCATCTTCTTCCGTGATGAAATTGCAATGTTTAAGCATCGTTGGACTAAGTGCATTGATGTCAAGGGGAACTATATTAGAAGAAACAACCAAAAACTGTCTTGTTTCTCCAACTTCTTCTGGGTGGGGCTTAGAACATTTTGAACGGCTCTCGTTTATACATAAATAAAATAACACTTTTTTTAAAATAGCTACATTAAAACAATCCATCTATATAAATATCTTATAAAATTTGTTTTACTTTATTGAAAATGACCTTCAATTGTAAATAATGACTTTTGAAACAATTGAAAGTGCTAGAAAATAAAAACAGAACGAAACAAATACGATGTGGACAGATTATGTACACTTTTGTATTGAAGCTAAAATAAAAAATAAAATTAAATTAAATAGATAAACATTGTTTATTGAATTAAAAAAAAATTCATTTTGTTAAATTCAACCGACAACCACTCTCTCTCTCTTTCTCTCTCTCTCTCTCTCTCTCTCTATATATATATATATATATATATATATATATATATATGCAACAAAAATAGACTTATTGTTTCGTCCGTGTGTTGTTTGATATATTGAAATGTAATTGTCATCTTATGTAAGCCGAAAGCTTAGATTGGATTTAAACATGTATGAATATGGTGATTTCCTTTCGTCTTTCAATGATAATGTTATTAAGCTTATCAGACAATATGAAAGGATTTATTTAAAATAAATAGACAAACTTGTCTATATTATTTAATGAAAAACGCATTAATGAAAAACTGCCTAAATATAATATATATATATATATATATATATATATATATATATATATATATATATATATATATATATATATATATATATATATATGTATTAATAAATACGCATATACCTACGTTTGTGTGCGATTTAAGTTTCGTTGGTTACCCAACATATAGCTTATTGTTTAAATATATATATATATATATATATATATATATATATATATATATATATATATATATATATATAAAGCAAAACGATAATGCCAATAAGGCGCAATATGCTTCTGGGACTAAAAAGGAATTAGATTTTAGAAATCCAATCTTAAACAGCAAACAAAGGCTACAGTTATACTCTTGTTCAAAAGGGAAAAGTGTGAACTGGACGCTAGGCGAACCAAACATATATATATATATATATATATATATATACACTTGTTTTTTCTTTCTTTTTCCCTTATCTATTTCCACGTTTTCATATATTTAAATAGGTTTCTATCCCACCAACAAACTCCTTTCTGTTTCCAATTATTATTCCTCCATCTTTCATTTTCCTGTCGGAACTCCACCTCCTTATCTCTTTCGTCTTTGTACTCCATATTCTCCAGTGTTTCCTATACAAACACATTTTTTTTTCGTATTGAATATCAGGTCACTCTATTTTTATTCAAACACACCTTCGTCCTCTATTTCTATCCGGACTCCTCTTTGTCCCCTTTCCTATCTTCATATATTTCCATCCGAACTCATCTTTCTTCCCCTTTCCTATTCAAAACACCTTCTACTTCACTTTTTCCTCTTCGAACTGCCTTTTCCTTCCTTCACTTTCCTATCCAAATTCCTCTTTCTTCTTTTTTCCTGTTCAAACGCCTTCTCCTTCCTTTTTCTATTCGAACTCCCCCTTCGCCCCTCTTTTCTTTTCCAAACACCTGTTTCTTCGCATTTTCCTGTTCGAATTCTATTTTCTTATTTCTTCAAACTACCCCTATTTCCATATCGCACTTCTCTCTCTTCCCAATTCCTGTTCAAACACATCCTTTTTTCAAATTTTCCTATTCGAACACCCACTTCGGCATTTTCGCTATCCGAACTTCTGTTTCTTCAGCTTTCCTATTCAAACACCCACATCTTTATTTTTTTCATCCGAACTACATCTTCACCCACTTTCACTATCCGTACTCCTATTTCTTTAATTTTCCTATTTATTTCCTGTTCGAACTGGCAATTCGCCCATTCTTCCAATACAAACTCCTCTTTCTTCTCCTTTCCTAATCAAATACCCACTTCTTCCCAATTTCCTATTCGAACACCACCTTCGCCATCTTTCCCTAATCTAACTCCTCTTTCTTCCCCTTTCCTATTTAAATACCTCTGTCTACGCATTATTTTGTATTTAAATTCCTCCTCCGCCCTTTTTTTCGGTCCGAACTACTCTTTCTTCTTTCCAAATCAAATATCCCCTTTCCCTATCCGAACACCTTTTTTCTTCCCCTTTCCTTTCAAACTCATCCTTGTTCGCCTTTTCCTATTTGAACTCATCCTTTGCTCTCTTTGCTTATCTGAACATTTTTCTTCGCCTTTTCTATTCAAACACATCCTTCTAGATTTTTCCTATTCGAAATCACCTTTCGCCTTTTTCCCCTATCCGAACACATTTTCATGTTCATTTTCTTCCTCTTTGCTCTTCAGACACATTCTTCGCATTTTCCCCTAGCTCTTTTTCCCTATCCGAGCTCCCCCTTCGCTCTTTTTCCCTATCCGAACTCCCCCTTCGCTCTTTTTTCCTATCTGAAATCCACTATCTTACCCTTTCTAATTGAAACACCCCACAATTTTTCGATTGTCATTATCCTTTCACCCTTTTTCTCTATCCGAACTCTTCTTTCTTACCCTTTCCTATTCAAACACTTCCTTCTCTGCATTTTCCTATTCGAACTCCTCCTTCGCGCTTTTTCCCTAACCGAACACGTCTTTCTTCTCCATTCGTATTAAAACTCATCTTTCCTCTCATTCTATGAGACTTCCAATTTCTTCCCTTTTCCTATTCAGACACCTCTTTCTTCGTATTTTTCTATTCGCCACCTCCACACACCCCGCCTTCGCCTTCTTTTCTTATCCTTTTTCTTCCCTTTTCTCATCTGTATTCCGCCTTCTCACCATTGTTTACTTTCTCCTTTTCTTTATCCTATTCGTACTCCTCATACTATCCCTCTTCCTCTCCTAGCTCTTTCTTTCCCCATTCCTATCCAACCTCCTTCTCATCTCTTTTTTCCGATACGAACTCCTCCTCCCTCCGTTACCTTCTTTAAACTTTCCCTTCTTCCTCTTTTCCGATCCGATCTCCTTTTCTCCACAATTTCTTTTCGAAGTTCCCCGCCTTCTCCTTTTCTGCTAATTTCTCTTATTTTATGGTTCACTTCTTTTCCTGTTCCCCTCTCATTCTTCTTTCTCCATCATGTTTTCTTCTCTGTACTTATTTCTTCCCGCCTATCAAAAGTTTTTTTTCTTTCCTTTCCTTTCCGCTCCTACTCCTTCTACTCTTCCTCCTGAAATTTGATAAGCAAGAAAGAATAGACGTCACTGCAAAACAGTGACATCTTAATACATGTTGACGTCGACATTCGATAGATGTGGGCATTAAGGAAAAGGATAGAGTCACGCAGTGCCATAGCAGGGGTTCCCTAACGGCGTGTGCGTTTACCCAAGACGCCAAGACATGTGGAATATTGAGTGAGCAATCGGACCCGGAAGGTGGTGCCTAATGACGAAGTAAGGCTGGCAGATAATTTTCTTTCATCGCCATAAAAGTGATGTTCGACTTACACCCGTTCGCCGCTCCGCAGAAGGCGTATTTTGTGAGCTCACATGTACACTATCAAAAGAACACCAGCGACAAAAATGGTATACTGTTGTCAGCCTGATCACGTGTGTGAGGTTCGCACATGCGCGTTAGCACCAGTATGTGGTAGCGGGCGAAATCATCCGGAACGCACATATACCAGTCTTCGTTACGTTACATTGCAGCATTCAATACTTTTTGTGTGTATTCCAGTCTCTCTCGTTAAATATACACAAACGTCAACAGTAGAACATAATGTGAAAGAGATAGATAGATAGATAGATAGATAGATAGATAGATAGATAGATAGATAGATAGATAGGAAAAGTGTCAACATTGTACTTACATTATTCGGACTGTTATCCTCGTCTTGACTGCCATATTCACAACGTTTCGCTCGTTATATGCTCCGGTCTTCTTCAGGTGATTGGAATTTCAAACCGAACTCTTTTTTTCCATATTACTGTTGCTTTGTCTTATTACTGTTAATTTGCCGTGGATATATTGTTTGCTTGCTTTATATTATTTTTTGCCCTGTTCTTTTCTTTTCCTGAGATTTGTGACTGTATGAGTTAATGCAACTCATAGATTCCTCACTGAATCTTCTGTGATAACATCAAATATCCCAATGTGTTCTTGACTTTTCCTTAAAATCATTGTCTAATTCTGGAAGGAAAACTGTAAAAGTGTCGTTCTATTTGTTTCCTCTCCACTGTTAACATTACCACTTACTTTTTAAGCTCATTTTTTTCAGCACATCATTAGACTACATCATCATTGTCTGAAAACCATGTACTCGAGAGACATTCGCCTCCCCAATTTATAAGCAAAAGCCTTGCCAAGAAGATAAGCTACTTGTCAGTTTCATTTCACTCAGTCCCGGTCTGCCCTGCTTTGAAGACAGAATCCTATATTTGCTTATCTGAATTTGCTCTTGTATGTCAACCCTAATTCTTAGTTTGTGAACTTTTTGCCATATTACTGTTGCTATGCTTTATTATAGTTAATTTGATTTGCATATATTGTTTGCTTGCTTTATATTATTGTTTGCCCTGTTCGTTTTATTTCTTTTTCTTGTTATTGCTTATTGCAAACTCTTTCAATTCTCTTTGTTGGACAGTGTTATCATTTATTTTACATTTAAATATTGTCATTCACTCTAAAGGTTATGAGCCCAGGAGTAGTCTCTGTTTCAACGGTGAAGAATAAAAATACCAAGAAAATATGAAAAATTAATTTCTTTAGGATACATGAGAATCCAAAAATTACATGAAACAATCTTGACATCATTTGATCGTCCCGATGACGAAGAGTAGTGTGAAAAGAATACAAGCGTGTTTGCCGAATTAATTCATTTTTTCGGTAATCGAAGTCTGTCTCATATTATAAGAGAAACTCCTGAGGATGGCAGAAAAGCTCTGTAAATGTTGAGAAAGCACTATTTACCAAAAATAACTTCCTTGTATACGGAATTAATTTCCCCACGCAAAGCAAGTGCTGAAACTATTACTAATTATGTAATAATATAATCAGTAATAGTTTCGACACTGTAAATGTAGAAACTTTATTAAAAACCTCCGGGAAGTGATTAGCGATAGTCTACTAAGAGCTACGGTTCTAAAAGACCTCCCGTCCGTTTTAAACCATTTACAACTGCTATTACTCAGAAAGACAAACTAGTAAAGTTTAGTGAATTTAATTGTTTTATTTTCATGCATATAAACATTACAATGGGTCATAAGACATGTAACTCCGTAAGAAAATGATATAAAATTATTCAGTAATGCGAGCACAACGCTGGAATTACAAAATAGTTGGACAGATATGTTGGCAATATAAGAATTGACTGGATTTAAAGAAGCTGGTGTCGCTAATATAGACACAGAGAAAAGATGCTGAGTATTAAAAATAATATCTAAAACCATGAAGACGATCAAGTTATCACATATAAGTAACCATTACATAAAGAAACAAACATGTCTAAGAGATACATACAAACTGATTTCTCAACGGTGATTTTTACTGATGAATGTAGGTCTATATTGAATGGGCATAATGGCTGAGCTGAAGATTGGAAATAGTCAACCAAGAAGCTTAAGAAAACAATGCGGGAATATTTTAGATGATAAAATAATGGGACACTTCAGAACTAGGGATGATTTTATGAGCGATGTCAAGACGTTTTGTAACTTGTTGAACAAAACGCTTTCACTGATGCAGATCACAATGTTTTTTTCATGCAAGGCAATGTTCCTTTAGATTCTGAAAATATCCCTATTACTCACATTGCCAAAAGGTTTGTAAGACATTAAATTATTGGAATGACCTCTGAAGATGTTAACCCAATAAAAAAATTATGATTTATTATTAAGAATGATGTGTACGAAAATGGAAAGTAATATTCAAATACAGAAAATGCCTGAGAAATATAGCAACGGACAAAGGCAAAATGGTAGACAGGTTAACAAAACCAAATAATGCAAAACTCAAGGTTACAAAATGA